GGCAACTCACCTTCCACAGCATCCAGTAGCAACCTCTGTGGAACCATCCATTGTGAATTCAAGTGTTAAAGTACTAGCAGAATCTACTGATCTTAAGTCTGTTCCTTCCGAATTTTCTTTTGTGAATGAACCCACAGGTTCAAACTCTGATTCAATTCCCATCATTGATTTCACCCTATTCACCTCTGGAAATCCTGATCAAATGTCCAAAGTTATTCAAGAACTCGGCAAAGCTTGTGAAGAATGGGGATTTTTCGTGGTATAATACTTTCTCCGATTCTTTTCGTTATATTCTCTCGTCCAGTAGTGCCTATCCTGCTCAGGTTAAGTAATTTATGCATCTGTTTCGTGATTCTTTGCAGCTGGTAAATCATGGAATACCTGAAACCCTAATCCAGGGAATAATCGATGCAGCTAAGGAATTTTTCGATCTTCCAGAGGATGAGAAGCAGAATGTTTCTGATCCCATCAAGTATGGAAATGGCAGCGTCATAACTACTTCAAACCAGAAGATCTTCCTGTGGAAGGATTTATTGAAATTCCCTTTACACCCGGAATTTCACTGTCCAGTTAAACCACCAAATTTAAGGTAAAATTCTCCCCCCACCCTCCCCACCCCTCGGTACTTAAGAACCTATACTGGGGGTTTGTTGGACTCTTAAATGTCAGAACTTGACAAAACAGGTTTTTCGTCTAAAGTGCTTAACACGACTAAAGTGAACAAAATTATAACTTCCAAATTTTTATTTTTCTTTTACTATAACATGTGCAATACTATTTGATCATCCTCCTTAACATACGGAACGGTCTGTGTTATGATTTGTTCATATATCTTGATCTTGAGTCTGTTCTTTCTGAATTTTCTTTTGTGCATGAAGCCACAGATTCAAACTCTGATTCAATCCCTATTCACCATACTTTCTTCTTCTCCTGTATTTGGGGATAGTCATAACGCTCATATCTTTCACTTGATCTCTATTTTTTTTTTTTTTTTTTTTTTTTTTTTTTT